TAAAACGTGTGTTTGGTCTTCGTGTATTTAGTATTTTAAACGGACCTGGTGTTTTCTCTGGGTGTGCAAATTTTGTTAAAGACGTAAAACATTGATGTCATACATGTGTGTAATATTATAATTTGTAATGCATATTAGTACATTACATATTTATATAATTTTATTTACAAAATTTCAAAATAATTGTCCTGTAAAAATTATTAATCAAATATTAAACTTTTGTCTATTTTAAAACTCGATAATGCGTACGTGCCGTCTGCAGCTACGACGCGTGACGGCGCGGCGTCCAATAAGATTACGGAATAATATTGTACTATGTTGTGTACATAGGTCACAGAGTAAGATAGAGATGGCGATCTGAATAAAAATTGAAGTTTAATTAGACTCTTTTTTCAATGTACCATTTTCCAAAGTTAAAGTATTGTAACAATATTAATTTAAAGAAAAATCATCATTGGGAAAACAATAGCTCCTTCGTTCCACTCATAATTTAAAAACACAAATGTAAAGGAAAATATAATTTATTACAATTCTTTCAAGTTTAATAAACAGTTTAAGAACCAAATATATATATATGTAAATAGGTAGTTTAAGTTTAAATTGAAAATACATAACATAAAAACAAATTATTTACATGTTTAATGCATAACTACTTTTAAGCATAAATAAAAATAATATCATAATAATTGTAATAATAATGTATATAGTCATAATAATAATAGTACATATTATTTAAAATTATAAAAGTAAAATAATATAAAATACAGTTAAATAGTAAAAAAGAAAAACATTGAAAAAATTGTAATGAAGCATGTATTTCACTTATTTACTTGGCTTAGTATCAAATGGATAATATCATGGTTTGTTGTAGTACAACGTGATCTAGCAGTTTTTACCGTTAACATGTGTATATAACATATGGGACCACTCATCATCTGAAAATGTGAAAATTCTTTCAAAAAACGGACATTCATTGCTGTCATATTGCTATGGAAAACAATTTTTTGTTTCCAAAGGCAGCACAATACCAGACTTAACCGGAGTTTTCTTAAAAAATGCATTTCTAAAGGGACTTGCCACAAGTCCAACACTTTTTCTGCATTCTAATTTACTTGGTGTAACAAAATCAGATTCAACGCTCGTATTTTCTGTTAGAATTGGGGTACTACTAGGTATTGGTGGATCCCTCGTCATCCAATTATAGTCACTTTGGGGGGATACACTGGTGTATTCAAGTGAAACATGGTCATTTTGCACAAGTTCAGGCTCTGTGTGATCATAATATGAAGTGCAATTTTTAATAACAGAAATTTCATTAAAATAAATAGTATTTGATTTCATATTATTTGTATCATCTGATGGATTGCAAACAGACACATTAAAGTGTTTCCTACATTTTCTATACACGTCAATACGGTTAATATGATTTGCAGTGACTTTAATGTGTTTACATTTGTCATTTAGAATTTTGCTATTGTAATTAAAGAAATCAAAAGAAGTATAGTTACAATTTTCAATACATATTTTTATTATTGTACTATTCATTTCTGACACATTACATAAATCAGTATTGTTCATACTTGTAATACGTTTACGGAGAGATGAATTGTTTCTATTGATAGCATTTGTAATTGATTTTCTTAAACCATGATCATTTTCTTTATTAAAGATGATATTGCAAATATTAGTTACACAACTGTCAGAAACTAAAACATTTCCAACATTTAAATTTGGATATTCAGTCTTAATGTAATGAGTTATCTCATCCAATTTTTTTTTTAAACTCATTTTAAAGATAGCTTATAAAATGTATTTTATCCAAAAAAAAATCGTCCATACTTTTATCTGTCTGAGCTTACTCTTAGACTATATTTTTGTGTCGGAATTAACAATTCGTCGGCACTTTTAGCTGTCTGAGTAAAACCCTCTTCGACAACTATGATAATAACTAAAACTACCACTACAACTTTTTTTTTTTTTTTTTGGGGGGGGGGGGGGGGGGGCCGTTAAAACTACAGCTAAAACTACTTTTTTTTTTTTTAATTACAACTACCACTAATACGAACTACAACTACTATGAGAGTTGATGTGATGCTGCTGTAAATAAGGCAATGCTGCTGAAAGGAAATCCATATAAATTATAACTTATTTAAATATTACTATGTTATATTGTTTCATCAGTAAATGATAATCAATTTAAAGAAAAGCATACACAACTACTCAAAGATCTAGATTATTTAGATGTGAAAAGTTGGCCAGATGATTGTGATATTTTGTATGGTGATGAAAATATAAGAAGAATAGCAAAACAATTTCAAGTAGATGAAATTTCGTCTGTAAGAGGATTTCGCGTGTTTTTTAATACTAAGGATAGTTCCAAAGTCTTCGATTTAAAACTTTTATAAGATGCAATAAATATGGTAGCTATATCATCATCAGAGTGTAAGCGTGTGTTCAGCTCTATGAAAAACATTGTTACTTCAAAAAGAAATGCATTGTCAACTATAAACATGTAATCGTTATTATATATAGGGGAGAGTTGCATAGATTGGACCATTTTGGACATTTAGGAGTATTACAGCTAATAATTTAAAATAATAAGTATTTAACTACACTAAGATTGTAGCTAAACACGTCAACAACAGTTTGGCATAGTTGGTTTTTTTTTTTAATGTTTTAAAGGTAACATTTTTTTATTTTTTAAAAATTTACCAAGTGGTCCATCTTAGGCAACCGGTTGCTTAATTTGGACCACCTATATTTTTTTATAGTAACTTGACAACCCATATTTTTTTATGGAACCACATTTATATATACTACTAATATTTAATTATGCATTTTATTTACAAATGAATTAGAAATAATTTAAAAAAATTATCACCTTTGAAATATGTAAAACATATTATATTTATTAATAAAATCAGATACTTTTATACACCTTACTAACTAGTTTTTTAATATAATAAACAACATAATTTATACCTTCTTGGTTAAATTTTAAAATAAAAAATATTTTTAGGAAAATAAAATGATAGAATTTAAAAGTTTTCAGTCTGACAAGTTTCTTATAAAATAAACAACATTTTTATATCTTCTTGGTTAAATTTTAAAATAAATAACATTTTTAGGATCATAAAATAATAGAATTTAAAAGTCAATAACCTAACCTTCTGACCTTTTACTGATCAGTTTTCTTCACAACACCAATGACACTCATCAAATGTATCACCATGATTTAATCCAAAACATTCTTTATGAAACCATATTGAACATTTTTTGGACTTAGTCATATCAATAATTTTTCTTCTTGGCAGAGTGGACAATACCAACTAACGCTATTAACATTTTTTGATGTAGATGGTAGATTTTCCATTTTTTTCTTTTTATGTTGACTTCCTTGTTCCTTCAGTATCCTTTTCATTCCTGCTTCCTTAGATTTTTCAACTTTTTTATTTTTATTTTAACATCATCAATTTTTGCTGCAGAAAAAAGATTTTTTTGGTGGTCCTATTTTATTATTTGCTGTGTTCTACTGCTTTCTAGTAGGTCTTTATAAGGACTCCTTGTTAAGATAACTGCCTTCTGTGCAGATTTTTTTTTCTTGAATTAGTATCACTAAGAGTTTTGGGTATAGGTGAGATTTCTTCAATAACTTTCAAAAATGTAGACACATTTAATGTTTTATCAGTGACAGTTATATTTTCATTTTCCATCATATTATTTGTTTTACTGTTTAAATCCACTTGATAATTTTCTATGTCTTCACTTACATTATCATTAGGAGTAGGAGATCTATTTAAATTATTTGAAACAATAAAATGATGATCTTCAAATAAATGTCTATTTACTGGCCAAATTCCAGAGCCTCGAAAAGTATTTTCAGCTATACCTATTGTTGCTGCACGACCATACGCTTAATTTAACAAACCTGTAACCTGGTATCGAGAAATAGTTTTACCATAATTCTGTCTTAACCACTTTTCTTGACTTTGTATGTAGTATAATCCCAATGGTTTGAAAAAACGTCGAGAGGTTAGGTCGAGAGATTGTAAACGATGAGTGGTGTGCCCAGGTAGTTGCAATAAAATGATACCATGTTCCTTAGCAAATATTAATGCCTCCAAATCCAATAATAATAAAACTGGCTCATAAATTGTAGATTTTACACATGCATAAAAATGTTTCAGCCAAGATACAAATAGTTCTGAATTAATGTAGCCAGTGTCAGTATGTTGTCCAAAAAGAAAAGTAAACGATGAAGAACATACTTACCAAAACATGAGGTCCCTTTTAATAAAAAAAAAATAAATATTATTTTTTATTCTTCTAAGATATTATATTGTTATTTAATAAAATATATTATATTTATTTATTTATTCAAATATACGGACGTAAGTCCTATTACAATTTCGAATATGTACACATAAGAATATAAGATATTAACAAATTAGTAAACAAGAAAAAAACATTATAATAAAAATTATACATAAAACTAATAGTATTTAACAAGTCGACTGCCTTGAGTATCATATATGATACACGAATAACTATCCAATTTCGCCATATAAATTTTAACGGAAATGCCAACCTTGCCTTGAGTATCATATTATATGCTTCTCACTTATCAGACGAATCTCGTCCTAGAGAAATATTGTAGTCAAACCAGGTTGGTCACACTACTTTCTTGAATAATATCGATATTTTTCTACACACGTTTATTTATTTCATGATAACAATTTAATTTTTGATAATAATTAATCGGTTTGAACTGAGTATCATATTTGATACTCAGGCCCCAGTAGAATTCGTATTAATAGATTTATATACAATTGTTTGTGGTTTTTCTGTTTTTATTTTCAATTAAAGTTGTTTATAGTTATTATATATTAAATAATAAATTTATATATCAGCATGGACAACCTATTGCGCTATCAGCTTAACTATTTTGTGATTTCCAAAAAAACGTTTTTCGTATATTTTATTTAAAAAAAAAATTAATTATGAATGAGAACAATATATCAGAGTTACTGGATGATATGTCTGATTGGTCCGACGAGGATGACACGGATGCTGATACAGATTTTCAATTAGAGGTATATCTTCGACTGTACATAATTTATACTTAGTGTTATATGTATATTATGATACTTTATTTTACACTGTTTTTTCATAGAATGATTCAAGTGATGATTCAAATTATCGATATGACTTATTCGCACTTGGTAATGAAAATTATGTAAATGATGTTGATATTGAGATTCCACCTACGCCTGATACTGTTCCTTCACAACACAATCAATGTCACCGAGATGCATCAGAACCCTATTGGAATGATGTTGATGATGGGTTTCAATCTAACATAGTGTTCAACCCAAATAATGAGCCAGTGGGCATCAATCCTGATATCATTGAAACACTAATCGAAGGTAGTCCTTATGATTTTTATTCATTATTTTTGGATGATGATGTGATGCATTTATTGGTTGAAGAAACTAACAGATATGCAAAGTCTTTATTGTCAACTAGAATAAGTCCACACTCACGGTTACATACATGGGTAGATGTTACTTCTGTTGAAATGAAAACGTTTTTAGGAATTATGATGTGGATGGGTTTGTGTCCCCAACCATCAATTGCTTCATATTGGAAAAAAAGTAAAATTTATGCATCTAATATACCAAAATATATGACTAGAAAAAGATTTGAACTTCTTTTGCGCTCATTTCATTGTTGTAACAATGAAAACTGTCCTCCTGGTGACCGTTTATTTATAGTAAGTGGCCTACTTGACTTACTTTTATCAAAATATAAAATGGCACGTACACCAAAAGAGTCTATGTGCATTGACGAATCCATTGTTCCTTTTGTGAGTCGCCTTTCATTTAGACAATATATACAAAATAAAAGAGACAGATATGGCATAAAGATATTCAAATCATGCATTGACAATTTCTATACTGTTGGATTCAAAATTTATGCTGGTAAGGAATCTGTTGTTGACCAGAGAGTATCAACAAAAATTGTAACTGAAATGGCAGATGAATACCAGGATATGGGTAGAACAATGTTCACCGACAATTGGTATAGCAGCTATGACTTAGAAAGTGAACTTTTAAAAAGATCTACTCATCTGGTTGGAACTCTACGCTCAAACAGAAAAAACAACCCCATAGAAGTTATTAAAAAAACATTAAAAAGAGGAGAAGTTATAGTTTAATGTAAATTTCACTAATACAATTGTAAGCTGGAGATTTTTATAAGTTTTTTTGATCGGTAACGGTGGAGACTATTGATGGAACGCCTTTGTAATATTTTATTGATAAATTTGACTCACCATTTGAGCGCCGTTCATTTAATTCTTTACGCAGATTTTGGAAGTATTCACGCTGTTTCGGAGTTTTATCACTGGTGATTCTCACATCCTTAAAAGATTGGTCAGATTTTAATCTTAGAGACGAACCTAGGATCTTGAAAACATCAGAAATTGTATTTAACGTTACTTTTAATGGACGAGTTTGTCCATTAAACTTTCGTGGTCTGTGGATTGTAACCGGTTTCATATCAACATTAAGTTTTTGAAATATTAGATTTGTAGCGAGTTTGACGATCAATAACATCAGAAAAAGAATCATCACTCAGAGTAGGTTTGTTTGTTTCAAGAAAAACGACATGTTGAGTCAGGGTAGCCAAATTACTACTCATAGTGTTATTTTCAGTTTTTATAGCAGCAAGTTGTGCAGATAAATCAGACAATTTACGTTCAAACGAGTTTAACTTTTCATTTTGTTTAACGACGAGTTTGGATTGTTCGGAAGTTAAAATTTCAGTTGCGTGAAGTTGGCCGCCCCACATTGCCATTTAGACTTCAAACCTTCACCAATATTTTGGAACTTATTGGGAACTAATTGGAACCTAGTTTTCCGAATTTGGAACTTCATACTTTTTCCAGGAAAAATATTTTTCTGTTGGGGGGGCAGCCCCCCCACGTTGTCGTATCAACTTCAAACCTTCACTAACATTTTGGAACTTATTGGGAACTAATTGGAACCTAGTTTTCCGAATTTGGAACTTCATATTTTTCCCGGAAAAAATGTTTTTCAGTTACAGGGGCAGCCCCCCACGTTGTCGCATCAACTTCAAACCTTCACCAATATTTTGGAACTTTGAAGTAACTTTTAGCAACCTACTTGAAAAAAACTCACAGCATCATTTCTTACCAACTTTACTAGGAAACAAGTTAAGGTGGCCAGCCTAATGCATTTGTTGTAACATTTTGGACGTCTGAAATATATTAACATAAATGTTTTGTAATTTGGATTTAAGTTTAGATATTCATATTTATTTTGTAGTAGCTGCAAAATATATTCTATGTTTTGTCAAACTTCTAAATTAATGTGTTTATGGTCGGTCCGAAATTATTTTTTACTTTGAGAAACTGTGAGTATCCTTATAAAGAATATAATTTATACCATAGGGGTGCGCAAACATCATTTTATTTCTGGTATAGCCTGTAACAATTATAAAACCCTACTGACCTAATACTTCGACAATACCCCTAATTTTATAATCTACAAACATATAATTAAACATATTGCGGTCGGGCACAATTATTATAATCGGCAAGCTGTGTAAACAAAATGCATTATAATATTATCATACTGTGCTTGACGCACTATCCGTTTTGGTGATTGCGACACATCCATGAACTTGG